AACCAAAAAGGCTGCATAAAAACTTTGACCAATCATTGAGGATTGCGTCCCCATATGCCCTTTAAATATAAACAATGTGCAGTTAACATAGAGTACACAGCCAGTTACAGAGTTTAGAGGGAAGTTTAAGACTCAGTCACACGCATCCCTCACTCGTTTTAGTCACTTTCCTGTTCTTTTTTCCCCCTGTCTCTTCTTTCTCTGTGATCTCTCCATAACATGTGCCGAGGCCATCATTTGATCTATAGCATCAGACATCTGGAGCAACGCTCCCCAAAAAACACCTGGTTTCAATTCAAGCAGCAGACAGAAACAGTCTATCGTGTCTAGCAACCAGAACCTTATTTTCTTTGTTCGCTCCTTCAATCATTGCCTTGGATACTATTTATGTTTAAGTCCAAAAACAGATTTTCTGCAGGTAATATATGGGAGAATAATTAGACCTGATTATCAAGAAGTCTGTGCAAATTACACAGAGTTATTTTCCAGGTGATTTGTGAGCAATTTTGGCACCTTTACTGCTGATTGTAGCTGCTTTCAAATCGCTTCAGTATGTTTGAGAATAAACCTTCAAATTAAAATCTTTATTCTTTGAGAACAGGGCTGCTCTCGTGGGCGGTCCTGATGTCTACTTATCGATAGCACTATATAATTAATCGCATACTTTTCCTGTACTTGGAGAGTACTTTACCTCAATTTTCTCGAACTTACAGGTTACTTTATTGAAGTAATCAGGTACTTCTCTGAACCATATCAAGAGCTTTACTGTGTATTATTTTGGTATTTTTGGGGAAATTTAAAAAATCAGTGTAAGATAGCACTTTACTAAAACTTTCATTAAACTTAATTCCCTAAAACTGTGCAGGAACTGCCCTAGAACTTACCAATGTAGGAGGCATCTTTTTACGGACAAGTTTTTTTTTATGAGGTGACTTTTAAAATGGAGTTTTCTCTAAATGTATCATTTATCCAGATATTATTAAAGACCCATTCTATTGGGGAGCAGTGAGCTGCCAATTTCGGCGCCTGGGGAGCAGTGGGGTTAAGGGCCTGTTCCTCAGAGAGCGAGAGTGGCAGTCTGTGGGAGTGGGGCCATCGTCATCAGCAGACCCTTTTTTACAGGGGCATGGGCCCCGTTGTGGATCTGCGGTGCCTCGGTATGCCTGGGGCATTGATTTTTTTAATTAATTAATTTTCCGCTTTCACAGCTCTGCTCTCACAGCGGAGTTGAGAGAGGAGAACTCTCCAAAATAAGCCAGTTACCACTGATCGACAGCTTCGAAAATATGAAGCCGGGCCGGGACACTACCGTTTACTGTTAAAAAAATGAACTTGCAGCTCTCCCATCTTTCTGGCCATGATATACACACCTCATATGATCATCACCATCACACCATCATAGGATGGGCCAAAACAGAATTGATAAACACAGACATGTATGTAGAGGTGGGGTTTTTTTGTTTTCCTTTTACAGTTGCACAGTTCAAGTTTTCAGTTGTGAAGTTCATGTTTGCTGACAAATATTTAATTGTGCCTTCATCAGTAGTAGATTAGATATATAATTAAGTTAACAAGTGGGCCAGTTCAATTCAATTTATTTCAGGTAGATATTTAATGATGCAGAAAATAACAATTGCCCAAAAATTTTTTTGCCCGTGCAAGTTTTCTTGGTGCCCTATTCTGCCCCTGTATAGCATTGGGTCAGCTGGTGCGCCTGATCTCAGAACCTCAGGATTCCAAGCTCTATTCCCTAACCACAAGGCGGCCATTCCCCCCAAAACCTTGCTGCTTCAGGTGAGGCTTGAACTCACAACTTCTGTTTCACTTTGCAGGCTTCAGTCATATAAGTACCGCGCGCTGACTCATTACGCCACTGTAGCATCGGTCAAAACTGTGCTTTTGTCTGGTTTTTTTTCTTTAAACAGATTAATATCAAATGGGTGCTTTGCAATGTTGCATATTTAAACCTCTTCTTCACGCTTAAGCAGACATTTGCGTGAAGGGTCTTGCTTTAGGTCTCACACTGGTAGCTCATTCCTCCAAGCCAGGATACAAACCCAGGCCTCCTGTTTGCAACATGGGTGACTTACAACTTGAGCTAGCCAGCCGCAAATAATACCTTTTTCAACATTCTTTGAAAGGTGCTAATAATCATTCCAGAATGTACTGCTTACTTTCCAGCATAATCTAATAAATTCTAAAATAGTTTTAAAAAAGAACCACACCAGTTCCTCAAGGTAGCCTCTAAGTTCTGGTTAAGTCAACTCTAAGGACAATTGTTGGCTGTTATGTAGTTCTGTCTGATCATCTGAAGCATTTGGGTTGTATCTTAGTTTTATGAAGATTTTTACCTTTGGTCATCAGCAGTCAAATTAAATCTTCAAGATTTGTGAAGGAACTCCTGTGCTGTTGTTTCAATCTTTTAATGTTAATTATAATGAGAAAAAATATTAACTGTAGTGGTTTTTTAGTAAAAGAAGCTGTATAGTTTGGAGGTGAACGATAATAAATGAAAGAAATAAGAATGATGAAGTGTGAACTGCTGCTAAGGCTCTGCAACACCTCATCATACTTAATTGTTTGAGCAGAATACAGGCAGAAGCAATTAGGAACTCTATGATTGAACAGCTCGTTACAAAGAAGCTTTTTTTTAAATGTAAAAAATATTTGTTCATAAATTTACCTTATATAGTTTATATGGCTGCATGTTTGACATGAACACTATTTAAATATAATTTATTTCTTTTATGTTTGAAAAGATTTTTAAAACACCATTTTTGTCAAAAAGAAAATATCCAAAAGAAAAATGAGGGGATGGTGGATTTATTATTTTGTTTTTTTGAAAGCATACATAGCCTAATTAATATAGTCTATTAACCCAAAGCACTATGCATGGTATGGTGGTTAAATGTGAGGTACGCCGTCATTCACTTTGACCAAGGTACCTTTCAGTACCTTGGCTTGGCTTTAACAGGCCCTACATAGTTATGGACAAATGCATCCCACTGGGATCAGCTTCATAATCATGGTAGGCCACTTCTTTCATTTTATTTATTTTGCTCAAGCTACTTGAAGCCCGCAGCCGGCCAAATGTTGAAAGGGCAATATTATAGCCATTACTGTTAATGTATATTTGAAATTTAAAACAGTCAGTAATAAAATATCACAGGGGATGGTATAGAGGGATGGTCATTTAAGAAGGGGGATGATTTTTAAGATTTTTTTTTTAAGAAGGGGGATGCCATCCCCCCCCTCACATTGAGCACTGTTTGTAACCCATTTTTTATAGGAGTAAAAGTTTTTTCCTCTGACATAAACTGCAGAAAATGTACAAGGGTCTCCTCAGTTACATTTTCCAAAATTCTAAAACAGACATATCTTGAAGCCAGAAGAGTTTATCTGTAAAATAAAAATAAAAAAACAACAGGTGCCAATCAAAGCAAGTACTTTGGTCAATCCGAGTTAGCCCCTACTTGAGGGTGTGTTGCTGATGCTAAGTTGTGGGAGTATATCTTTTTTCTCTCACACAGAAAGCACTCATCCTTCACTGCCTATGTCATGTGGCTCTAATGTAGCTTACTTCATGTTAAATTGGTGTTTCCTCTCCACTGTCACTACATGATGCAAGCCATTATCCACTGTTGCTACATCCTAATCCAGAAGGAGTTAATGACTATGAAGTCAGCTGAGTTTCCTTCATAAGAAAATGTCTTAACTACTTTGTCTGTATGAGTTAACCTCCCCTTCAGGTGACATATTTTATGATTCGATTATATTATTAAACCAAATAAAATTAATAATTTGTACATACTAGTTCACTAGCTGCCATATCTGATAATGTAGCAACAGTTACTAGAGTTTAATAAACACAAATATAATACAAGCGAAACCACAGGATACTTAATAAGCTGCTGTTACAAGATATATATGGTCTTTTAAACAATGTCACATTTGACAGATGAGACATTAAGTCTGTTTATTTTGTTCTTTATATTCATATCAGGTAATGTTATTCAATTTTTTTTTACCCTTTTTCATCTTGATGACCGCATATCAAAATAAACACATCTGCTCTAAAAAACATATTTGTCTCCTTACATGTTTTCTTTCGAATTATAGAACACATGTAACATCAAAGATAATCAAAGTTCATACTAAATGCATTTTTAAATGATTTCCTTTAATAAGGAAAAATAAAACTGACCAAAGCCTTCTTAAGTCATGAATTAACAAAATATATTTCTTTGGGACTTGTACTGACGGAACCTAGAGTTCTGCTAAAGCAGGAAAACCCAAAGGAAAATATCTGACCCTAATTTTGGGAATGACTATAACCAACAAACCTGAAGGTTTTTGAGCAATCAGGAGAAAATTCTGATTCAAATTTAGTCAAGATGCTGACCTTAACAGACAGTTTCTGCTCAAAGTAGTGTGGCTTAACAGAAAAAAAAACTTAAGAGAAGTGATCAAAAAAAAATCTGATTTAGATTGTGGAAGGAAGCCTGGAGTACCCGGAGAGAACCCACGCATGCTCAAGGAGAACATGCAAACTCCATGCAGAAAGACCGCGGGCCGGAAATCGACCCAGAACCTTCTTGCTGCAAGGCAGCAGTGCTACCCACTGCCCCACTGAGCAGACTATAAAAGAAATCATCACCCGTAAATTGCACTTTGTATTTACTTGAAAGAAAAACTGAAGAAATCAGAAGGGGACCAAATGTTCTTTCACTGTAATATAAGTGAACAACAGTCCAACAGAAAACCTGAATTTATTTGTGTGAAGAAAAAGATGGGAGGTGCAGAAATACAGATTTAATTACTCTTGGTCAGAGTGAATTGATTTAAGTTTGTTTTGCTGGAATAATTTTACTAGTTGAAGAGTAGAACTGGTGTTCTTGATTAACTGTAAGTGTGCTATTGCTTTAAAGGTCTGAATTTATAAAGCCATACATGCATAAGATATATTAAATAAATTCGAGAATAAAAATGTGTGTATATATATATATATATATATATATATATATACATATGTGTGTGTGTGCTTACTGATATAGTTATTCAAGTACCTTTGTATGCACACAGTCTGAAAACAAAACATGTAACAAATGCCTGCACAAGTGAGGATAATCAAAACAAAAAATAAGTCAGGACTTATACTTTGGAAAAAGTACAAGTGGAAAAAGTACCGCCCAAAGCGGTTGTTGCGTTTTCACAAAGCTCCCTAAAATGGATGCCCCAACCTCTTGGATCAAAGTGCAACCCAGAGAATCGAGATGTTTGTGCCACCCTCGTGCGTTATCTGGTTTACACGTCCTCTGATGCAATCCAGAGTAACATAAACAGATGTGCCGTTCTGGACCTGAAAAGAGGCTCTCAGTCCGATGCTAGTCCACTCGCTGCCTTCGGGCATTGATCCAGACACCTGCTGAGCCACAGGACCGGCCTGGTGCCCCTTCCCTCCAGCCCTCTGCAGAGTCAGTTTGACTATATTGCATGAATGGATCATTTTGAGATTGAGGGCGATGTTTGCTGTCCCCTTCTCATGAAAGATGAAGTTCTTTTGGGGGTTTGAATCCCCAGATCGAGCTAGGTGAACCTGCGGTGTGTCTGGGCTGATCTGTTGAAACAGCAATGGTTTATTCCTGACAGCTCCAGAGGGCAGACCGGTCCGCGAAACTGTGGCAGTCAAGGCTGATGACACAGCGGAGGGAATCCAGATTAGACTCAAGATACTAATCCCAGTGCTGTCCCCAAAATACCGGATGTTGCACTGAGACGGAGACGTGATCTCGAAAGTGAGCATCTCTCTGCTTTCTACCATCACTGCACCAGAGAGGGTGATGGAGGTGTCCCTGTAATTCACTCCCGTCTTGAAGGCCTGTATAGTCTTCAGTCCAGTGGTGTTCCGGGTGGTGTAGGCGATCAGAGAGAAACCCTCTTGAATGCAGGTGTGACCCATGGAGTAAAGCGCTTGCTGGATGACAAACTTTACGACTCCGCTCTCCGTGAAGCGCACACCACGGCTGTCATGGGTGAGGCTGATCATGTAGGGGTCGGACACTGTTGTGATGCGGAAAGTTGGACGGTAGCTGGTCTGGTAGTGTGCCAGCAAGGACATTTGGGCTGTCATAGCAACAGCACCAGTATCATGAGACAGCCAGAGGAGACTCAGAGAAGGTGTGGGGACATCAAAGATGTGAAGATCCTTGCTCTGATTGCAGTGTTGATTAGGACTCCTCAGCAGCAGAGTGAAGATGTGGTTGGGTTCCACCTCCACGCCGGTGCTGACGCTAACGCCCTGGATGTACTTTCCATCCGGTTGTTCTATGCGGACTCCGCTGAGATCCTGACCATCCTCCTCCTGGCTCCTGTTAAGTCTCATTCCGACCTGGAGAAAGTTCCTGCAGCTATGCTTTATAGCAAAGTTATGATCCAGCCACACTAGTCCATGCTGGAGAAACGTCACCTTTCCGGCCTCATTTGACAGAAGATCACTGCTCTCTTTCCCGCGTATGTTGAGCTGCAGACCAGGATAGATGTGAGCACCAGACGTACCAGCTGGGGGAATAGCCACCTTTGCCACCCAGGCCTGGGAGAGTCTGTTCTCTGAAATCTGTCCACAGACTGTGTCGCTGACGGCGGTGCAAGGGACGACCAAAGGCTCACCATCGCATTCTGAGCAGGCCTGGCATTCCTGGAGCTCCTGGTTGTAGAAGTATTCATGACCGCAAAGGTTTTTAACTGCTTCTCTCTCCGAAACCCCCAGACACTTGAATCCACCTGCAAGAAAGAGGACAACAGAAAAGAAGGTTTCAAATTAGCTCTGCTAAGGTTATCACTGGTTGGGGGAATCTAAAATGAAACAAAGACATTATGAACCAACCAGGAGTATTGAGACACTTCACCCGCTCTCCGCAAATGTGTGGCAGTTCAAGACATTCATCTCGGTCCTGTAATCCATACAATTAGGATTGGGGTTAATTACTTCCATTAAATGAATTCTTTGTTCCAGTTTGTTCTTGTGTTGCAAATTAATCTTGTATTTTCTTAACAGATATTCAATGAAACCCAAATCTATCACTTTAGTGATTGCTGTAGGTTGGTTTTAATGAATTCGGTATTATATACAGTTAATACTCTGTAGGTACACATCATTGCGAGGCTGTTCATAGCTCTTGAACTTTTTCTCATTTTATCATGTTACAACCTCAACCTCTTAATGGATTTCATGCAACAGAGAAACAAATTATTGCAGAAAAGGGAAGTGGAAGGAAAACAAAATGGCTTTCAAAAGGTTTTTAAAACTCAATATCAAAAAATTTGCTTTTTTTTTTTTTTTTTGTCAGCCCCCCTGAAACATTCACAGTAACAGCTGACAGCCAATCAATGCTTCTCTCAGGTTTGCACATCCAGAGACTAAGCGTTTTATTCGCCCTTCTTGGCAAAATAGGCTATACCTGACCAGCTTCATAGTCCCTGTTGAAGAAAGGCATCCAGAGCTTGATGATGCCACCTCCATGTTGCACTATGTGAGGACCCTTTAATGTAAGACGATGTCTCAGTGTTTCACCAGTTCGGTCTCATCTGACCTTCTTTCACATGTTTGCTGTGGCCGCTTTGCCATATTTCCATAACTGGCAAAATTTCAAATTGAGCGCTTGCAGTTTTTTTATTTCATAAACAGAACAGTTTCAACGCTGTGTACATCGTTTTAACACGACTGATCTGAAATGCACAACTTCCCCTGATCATTTTAGCTATGTTCCCTGATCATCATGATGCTGCTTGTCACTATTGTTCTCTAGCAGCCAAGGTTATACAGAGGCTAAATTATGCATTAATGTCCTGTTTACTGACTTTGAAAGATACATTTTACACAGGATTTCCTAAAGGGATAGTAGATTAAAGGCATGTTTCACATCCCTATTTCTTTTTTTTCCCAAGAGTTTTCCATGTGCCCTACCACCTGTTGGTGTATAACAAGAATTCCAATGAAGTACTTTGTGGTTTGTGGTTGTGCTGTTATAAAATGTGAGTAAAGTGTAAATGGCATTAATGCTCAGTGCAGCAGCACTCACAAAAAGACTCCTACCTGGCACATTCTGTCTGCAGTTGGGGAGCACTGTGAGATGAGGAAGAAGCCTGGTGGACACATGGTGCATTTCTCACACCGAGGTGAATCCCTCTGAAAATCACAGAACTCCTCCGGTCCACAGGGTGAAGAGCATCCACGCAGAGGCTGCGGAAAATGAGTCTCTCCCACAACATCCAGCACCTTTGAGTCAATGTCCATTTTATGCACAGCGTAGGATTTCTGCAGATGGCTGCGGGCCTGACTCTGCAGTCCCGCCAAATGACTCTCGAAGTAGCTCTGCAGCTCTCCCTGCAGGCCCTGGAAGGACACCTGCTTGACCGTCTCCAGGAGTTGGGCAAACTGTTGTTTAACTGCATCCATCTGCTCATACATGTGCCGTTGCTGCTGCAGGACTTCGCGCTGCTGTGATAGAAGCGCCTCCTGTTGATCAGCCAGCTTCTGCTGCAGGTCACGGATTATGACCTGCTGGGCACGAAGGGCTTCCACCAGTTTCTCCTGCCCCTTGGCCAGCTGGAGGTGCAAAATAAGGGCGTCTTCTGAAGGTACTTCATTCTCCCCTGAGGAGAAAGTAATGCAGAGTGAATAAATGGACAGTCAAATTTAGGCAAGATTAATGATTGTTTTGTCTCATAATATTAAACATCAATTACATTTGCAAACACAGCAGCCTCCTGCATGTGCTTATCAAAGCTAATTTAAGAGCACAGAAAGCTTCCTATGTGAACAAACATCAAAGCAGTCTACATTTTCCAGCTAATTGACTTTGAGGTATTTTTCCAGCTCAGCTACAGCTGCTCTGTGTGTATCTTTCTTTCTTACATGTTAAAGAAAGGGAACTTTTGCTTTGAAAATCAAAAAAACTTGGATTTAGGATTTTTTTTTTTTAAATCAAAAATGGTCTAATTCTTTGGAAGTTATCAATGGTTGACCTTAATCATTAAAATACAGTTAGATTAGGGATCAGCATTTTCCAGAAATTAATTGAAGGTAGGCCTTTACAACACATGATTTCCACTAATCTGCCTTATCCTAAACTTCTTCCAAGTTTAGTTAAGAGGTCTGCCTTCTGCATAGCTTACAATGACTAACATACAGTCCAAAACATTAATTGAACATCTTCAGCCCATAACCTTTACAGTCAGACCGAATTAAACTGTTGGCTTATTGCCGATTATGTGATGACAGGATGGATAAAAACAACTTTAAGTCCAATCTTAAACAATTGTTTCCACATTTGCCCAGCCTTATAAATACTGTTTCCTGTATCGTATTTAAACTTTAGTTCCAGCATCCTTCTGCCATATGTTGATGTGCCCCTAGTAAAGTCAGTTCCCCTCAAGCCACCTACCAATCTGCACATCAGTGATCGATTATGTGCATTTGTGAGTGCAACTCTAAATGTAGATCTAGCATAAAACGCTTTAGGTGGCCAGTGACAAGACCGATGTCTAATTAATTCAAACCATTCACCATATGAGAAAAACAGACCATAAACATTAAGCATCAACAGAATGTCCAACAGCCAAGGATCCCAAAAAACATGGCTGCAGCAGTTTACCCACAGTAAGGGTGCAATACTTTACTTTGCTATTCCCTTTAAAATATAACTGTGACACACATGTTTTATGCTCATTCTGCTTTTTATACAATATGAAGCTAAAAATGTATAATGTCAGTGTTGCATAGTCTGTCAGTCGTAAACAGAAAGCAATCTAGTTCCCATTATAAAAAAGTAATAATCAACCATCACAGCATCCAGTTGGACATTGATTTTGATTTTGCTGTATCATCCCAAGAGTTTCAAAGGCCAACTTGGCCCCTCTGTAAACTATTTATCAGGGGATGCCACTGCAATCATGATGTTATCTAGAAAAAAAGTTGTCCTCAAAGCATTTGGTGCAGGAAAAGGTGAAAACGAAGCTTTAACTATAATCACAAAAAAAATCTTCATATCTGCATAAACTGAGAGGAAAGAAAAAATATATAAATAACAGATTTTGATTTAACTATTCTTTACAGAAATTTTTTTTTAGATTTCTTTTGGTGTTTCTTTTTTTTATTTTTATCAATTTATCTCACCTGCTGGTTTTACCTTTTTAGCCCCTGTTTTGAAGATTTATCACACTAATCTAGTTTTGGTTTTGAAGAGTTGAATACATTTTACAGAAGCAGACCTGGCTTTATGTCACATGTCAGTTGGACTCCTAAAGGGGCCCCTCCAAGCTCTGAAGCTGTGTGTCCAAACTCTGGAAAGTCTCCCAGAAACTGCGCGGCTCTGTCCGACAGGTAGACCGGGGACGTTTCTTCTGCTGCAGCCGGGCAACCCTCTCCTACACAGGATCTCCCCCGAGCTTTGGGTCGTATCCTCAGCGGTAATTTGCACTCAATCCCTCTGCAGTCTCTGCTTTCATTCCTGGGATGATGGATCTGTCTCACGCTGCAGTCCCCATCCGTGCATCCCACTTCCATCTGTGCGTTACCGTGCCGCCGCAGCAGCTGGACCGACTGCTCGGTCTCCAGAAGCGCTCTCTGAGGGGTAGGGAACGCATGGTGGTGGCTGACCGCTGCGTTTCCATCTCTCCCCTGCATTCCTGGGTTGAACTGCCGGGGAAGCCTGGAGGATCTGCTCTCTGGACAGTGCGCTCCCGTGCACGGTCTTGGATCGCCTGTTTGTCCGCCAAAACAGTGCGCACCAATGCAGATATCCGCTGATGCGTGCGTAATGCTGTGCATGGAGAGCAACAGCGACAGAACTATTGTCAGTAAAACCATGTTGCATGTAGCACCTAAAGAATAACAAATGATCCGCAGCTTTCCAGGTTAAATCCTTAACACACGCAGCTGAGACAAGACCATGGTGTTGCTTTCAGCTCCAGGGTTTGGTCAGACTTGTTCTCTGAAGAATAAAAGGGATCGGAAGCAGGCATTAGTGGGCTGCTTCCATGTCCGACCCACTCTGTGAGACCCTGCAGCACTTCAGAGCCTGCAGCACTGAGTGTGGCATTCCTGAGGCTTAATTAGCATCAGGTTTCCTTGGCCACATTTTAACCCTTCATCTTCCCCTCCTCCTCATGGTAATTAAAAAAAGCTTTTTAAACGTTAAAATTTAGGTGCCACATTGCAACCTCAAAATGCAATGCACCTTCTTAAATATCTGGTTTACAATAGCTTTTACAAATTAAAATGTAAAAAGTGTTGCTTTTTTGTATTCATCTAAATCCTAAACCAACCACTCTCAGAGGTTAATTTATAATCAAAAGAGTGTTTAATGATTTGTGTCATTTAAACTCAGTTGATCTGTAATGGCCAAGACCAAGAAAAAAGTAGAAAGGTCATAGAAATAGTTACCAGGAGGTTAAATATAGAGGTCATATCCTTTGAACATCTCATGGAAGCACCATTTTGGTGCTTGAAAAGCTGTCCAGTTTTGTAAGATGCTTTTAGAAAAAGTATACTCTTTCTTTTCATGTTATCTGATAGATCTTTAATATCATTGTTGGACAAAGATAGCATTAGTAGAAAGTAGTCAAAAGTTTATTCTAAATTAGGGAAAGAAAGTTATCCAAACCAACCTTGGCAAATTTGAAAAGCCAACTGCCCACATGGGCTTGTATTCATGCATAATTATTTTTGACCTTTTAACTTTGCTATGATGTTAATCCTTTAACACAATAATGCACAAAGTGTTAATTCCTTTGATTGATCCCTAAGTTTTCCTAATTGCTCTGTAGTTATAATCTTATTTTTCTCTCACTGCAAGAAAATAGTTTACCCCAAGCGATTAATAAAGTAATTCTGGTTCTGATGGGTTCTGCTGTTTGAGTAACAGCCCCGCTCTGTTCTGTAAAAAGGAGCTGTTAGAGAATATTTTTTAAAGGGTCCCAATGTGTAAACAACACTTCTTTCTCTGATAAGTGAGGGGTGATATGAGGCAGATTGCAATGAATGCAGCTAAAAGTTAAGATGAAGTGGCTATTTTAGCAGCTAATGGCAGCAACCTCGTTTTTTTAGCTAATGTACTTGTCCCTAAAAATCTTTTCTTTTGCCCCGAGAGGTCTTTGACTTTGTTAAGCTTTCAGAAATGATATGGTGAAGTGATGAAATGGGTGGCCCTCCCCAATGGTAGAGGTTCCGTTTGTTCAGGCAAGTTGTTCTTACTTTATTATGTCAACTTGTATTAGCAAGGGTTCATGCCAACTCCAGACTTTGAGAGTGAAATGTGATTTTAATGCTGCTTTCATGATACCAGCGGGGCAGAAACAACTAATCAGTTGTGTGAGTTCTGGCATTTTTTATGCCAGAAATGTGTTTCCATCTCCTCTTTATAACATATTTGCTTTTTTGGATAAAAAACACCTCAAGTTAATGTAAAATCTTTCTCGTGGAATTTAGTAAAGTTATTTAAATTCTGCTGTTTCCGTTATGTTCTAATGCAATACTTTAAAAAGTGCAAAAAAACAAGGTTGACTAAAACATGTCGAATGAGTTTGGTCCTTCTAAAGGGTTTCTTCTTCCTGTTAAAGTGGGATTTTCCTTTCCACTACCACTAAATGCCTGCTTAGCATCGGGGATTTCTGCATAGTTAATAGCTGCTTTTCCATTCACCATCAAACTGTGCAAATTCCAATTATGAAAAAATAAATTAAATAAAAAAAAAACTCACATTTTTTATAGAAAGTAATTATGCTGAGAAGAGGTAGTCACATCAAATTCTTATATTTCGCAAAATTGAAATGAAAACACTTTATTTTACATCACACAAGTTATGTGATCTGCAACTGGATCTTACTGCCTTAGAAAAGAAGAAGAAGTAGGCAAGTAGTTGGAGGATGATGGCGCCCACTGGTGCCTTGGCTGAACTATGGATATATCTCATTTGTTTACATGTGCCACTTTCATGTTATTGTGTGAATAAACTTTACATGTGAAATTTTCATTATATTTTTATGTAGTGGAAATATTGCAATAGGCTCTTGGCAAACTCTACTACTTAATGAACTCAAGATTAATCCAGGTGTGCCTGACCTCAGTAATGGCCAGACACACCTGGATTAAGCAGTTCACCTAGTCATGAAAGACAGGAAACAAAAGAGGTGCCTAGAGTTCAGGAATTAGTGGAGTTGGGCATGGAGCCCTG